ATATATATATGTATGTATGTATATGAATAGTAAGCTTGTTTTCATGCAGAAGCTAAGGCACCATCAACCGAAGTATTTGGAAAGGTGTGTGAGGAGGTTGTATATGATGCTTGTGTAAGCACATGCACTCTGGTAAACAAGACAGAAGACGTGCTTTCCTGTAATATTAATGTCTTGTCTTGTTCTTCAGCCTTTCTTATATTGTACTTTTCTTCAGCCTGACTCTCCCACTCTATCTTGCCAGCACTCTTCTCCTCCCTCTACGTATTTTCTTTGAACTGATAGAGTGCAGCATTTTTTTCCACTGATGAGTCAGTGACCATCAGAAGGATGTACACAGATGTACTGTAGAAGGAGGATGGTAAGAGGACTCAGAATGTACTGCAGTGTTGCTCTCACAGTGTGTACCCTTGAAAGGCCTAAATGTCTCTCTCTGATGTGGCACTGTGTGGGCGGTGGACCCTTTTGCTAACAGCGTGTGCTCAGTTTAATGACTTGGAAAGAAGGAATCCCCATACATCTCTGAACAGATTGTTATCTATACAAAAACTGGGCAGCTGAATCAAATCGATTTGCTTCTCTTTTTCAAAACCACCCACATTTGTTTGTGTCTCGTTCTGATGTTCTCTGAAGGTACATGATGACCCCAAGCCCACTTCTGAAGTTCATGAAGACCTCATGATACAAAATCACGTAATGCTGTTTTATTTATGTACTTGTTGTTAAGAGAAAGTATCTTTTCATCTTACTTATGTGTATGAGGAGGATGCTGAATAATAAGCCAGGTCACAAGGAAAGGAGTTTAGAGGCTGGCAGACCAAAGACCTAAGGCCTAAAATGTCTTAGTAATGGACGTGTGGAGAAGAAAGATAACAGTGCTTCATGCAGTGTCTCTCAACCACTGTGCCAAGGCATAAGTGGCAGGGCAGTAAATTATGGCTAATTAATCTGTGTATATACCTGTTGCCATTCAAAATCTAAGAAAGAAGAGAGACTTCAAGCAGTTTAAGAAGATCTTTCTTTGCATCTTTCTTCAATTCCTGCAAATATATCAGTGTTTTCTTTTGCTGGATCTGGTGGACTTTGCTATTGTAAAATACAGTATGTGACATGGCTCAAAACCTCAGTGATCTTCTTTAGAGTGTGACATTTGCCAAAAGTTTGAAAATGTCACTCAATAATCTGAAATGACTTCAAAAGACATTTCACACTAAATATTGACTTGTAATCAATATTTCAATCAGATGAAATATTATGGAAATTGTTGTTTGTTCACTGCGTGCTTTGTACTCACCAGCTCTACCAAATAAAACTAGAAAGGACCATTAAACAACCAACCGAGTAAAATGCCATCCGTGTCCAAGGTATTTGCAATATATGTAACATTGCACCAGCAGTAGTAGTAACCTTGGATGCTATCTTTTAGCCCACATGCTATTTCTAGCCTCTACTGCATCCTGATTCCAGTAGCTTCCCCTTTGAATGGCTGCCACACAACAACCAAGACATGGTGCATGGTGGATAATCCCCCCACCCCATAGGTTGCTGGGGGTGAGAGGAACTATAAATAAACACTGTGCATTCGTGATCCATTCATGTGTAGCTCAACATCAAACCACTGCATGGCTAGTAGGACACACTGCGCTGCTCTTAATGTACACATAAACCCTGTAGTGTTACAAGTGTGTGTACATGTAAAAAAGAAATAAATGAATGTTGTGGAGGGTGGAAAATAAAGGATAAATATGAAAATAAAAAATAAAACAAATGGTATATATGAATATACAATATCTATATCTATATATCTCCATCACGCATGCTCGCTCTATGTGCGTGCTGTATAAGAAATAAGTTGTGGGTCCATTGTGACTCATACATCTGTTCACACCTGTGATGAGGATTCCAGAGGAATTTAACTGAATCTCTGATGCTTCTGCAAACATGGGAATTTGTTGCCTAGGAAACAACCTTGGCATGTCCCTTGTGGCACATTTACTAAAATCTTTCAGGGAAAATTGTTTAAGGAGGATGACGTGTTCAAGAGAAAGACATGATAACATGCTGGAGCTTAGAGTGTTCATGGTGGTGTATCCAGACGTGTTATCTGACACTGGGGGAGTTGATCTCACTCATCAAAAGACTGCTTCACAGAGTGGAAAAAAACCATCAAATAAGCCACAAGACTATTTCTGTATATGAGGGGAATATGTCAGACCTGAGGGAGGTTTTCAGTCCCCGTCTCCTGTTGTATCTCTGCACAGCTGCTTGGTGACAACAAGAAGAGGGAAAATCTGCTAGAAGAAACTTCTCATTCTGATGTCACATGAGTGTGGGCACATACATATAGCTACAGTATGTGCGACATGCAGTCCGCATGCAGGTGTTGGCACTGGTTTGATGTTGAAAATAACAGTTTGGATGTCTTTGGTTGTCTTTGTCTGATACGAAATCAGGAAAGCAGACACTTTAAAGAGTGGGTGCAGCACTATGTGTTTAGACAAGCATTCATATGGTGCTAAGTGTTCTGGGTATGATTCAGTGGGATGTGTGCTGCATCAAATATTACAAGCAAAATGGGTCCAAGTGTTGTGAGCGTGACTGAGCTGTTAATTATCAAGGATCTTGTAGATAGTCCACATCCTCCCTCTCTCCCCCTCTCTCTCTCTCTCTCTTTCTTAGTCACATTCACACATAAATAATGGAGAAGGAA